GTCCACTCCAGGGTGCAGGGTCACTATGCGGTGAAACAACCTTGATGGTAGTGTTTGTTTGCGTTGTTTTTAGATGCTAATTTAGGTCAGGGGTTATCTTGTACCTCCTGTGATGAATCCCCTACTTACAGTACATAATATTTCAGGGGAACGTGGCAGTTTAAAATGGGGTCAAAAGTTCCAGATTAATCAGAGAATCATTTAGTAGAAAAACCTGAAGTGACCTTTACAAAGAAGGTGTGCATGTTGCCTTTTTTTCTGAGGAGAAGATGCAAACTTTTTCTGAGTCCCCCCCTCCCTGGCTCTCAAGGTGAAAACTGATGCCATCTTCAACATGTAAAGCAGAGATTGCTCGGCGGCTGCTGTTGCTGGGTCCTGGGCCATCGAATCTGTCCCCACTCCTAGGGACCTTATGCACAGCAGGAGGCAGCCCTGCCTGGTCCTCAGGCCCTCCTCACACTTATGTGGAGCCCATTGCTCAGCCACTGTGTCTGTCTGTCTCACCGAGGGGCTGCCTTTTTGCTGACATATACACAGAATGATTATAGGACTCAGCCATTCTACTCGTAGGTGTCTACCCAAGAGAAATGAAAACATGTTGGCAGAGAAGCCCACTGGATGTGCCCAGCAGCACGATCCTTAACAGCCCAAAGTTGAAACCACCCCCGAGGCTAGGAGAATGGAAGGACCAAGTGTGGTGTGTCCACACAATGGCTAAAAGCCAGCTACAAGCAGAAGTGAAGTAGCAATGCAGGCTGCACCATGAACGCACCCTGGAGACACTGTGCGGGCTGCTCCCTCTGCTAACTGGAAACACCCGGCTAGGAAAACCAATTATGGGATAATTCCACTCCCAGGGAATGTGGGGAAAAGAAAATCCCACCAAACTCGTGGTATCAAGTCGATTCCAACTCACAGGACAGGGCAGAACTGCCCCTGCGGGTTTCTGAGACTGTACTCTCTATGGGAGTAGAATGGCGCATCTGCTAGTGTTCTTACGACTGACCTTGTGATCAGCAGCCCAACGCCTAACCACTGTGCCACCCTGATCCTATGAAATGTTCGGGACAGGTAAACCCACACATACCACATGGAGGTTTGTTGTTGCCTGGGGCAACGGGGAGGAAAGAAAGGCGTGCCTACGACTGGGTTGGAGATGATAGTGTTCGGGATTAGAGTGGCGAGGGTGGCCCAGCCTTGTGAAGATCCTAAGAGCCAGCGGATCGCACTCTCTAAAATGTGAATTTTGTGATATCTGAATCTAGAAAAATAAAATAAAATTCCATTTATACCAAATAATCACTGGTTTAAATAATCCCTGGGCCCATAACTTCCTGCAAATCTCAGTTGAGTCCAGCTATATTCTTTGAAGCCACATGCTCAGCTGCGTGAGACCTTCTCTTGAACCACCTCCCTTACCTAAACTCCGTTTTCATGTGAAAACTCAACATGGCTCCCAACCCCTTCCTTCCCCCTTCAGTTTCCTGGCTCACACCTAGTGTCTCAGGCTGGAAAACCTCAGCGATGTGTACAATTTCTTTTTTCCTCGTTTCAACATCAGCCACTAACACCAGCGCTCCCTATTAACAAAAATGGCGACTGCGCTTGGACGCCTAACTTGCCAGAGACAAAGCTGAATGGTCTGCATTTTACCTTTCATTTTCAAGATCATGTGTCTTACAGTGAAGAAAACAGAGACTCGGTGGGGATGGGTACCTTGTCCTGTGGTTTTCCTCCCTCCTACCCATCTTCCATCTTCCAGGCAGAGGGACCTTCCGAACACCAGAGCTGTTCAAGCCACGGTCCACTTACAGCCTTCCAGAGGTTTCCCTCTGCCTTAAGGTCCCAATTCCTCATGCTGGCACAAAGCGTTCTTCCGCGATCTCTTTATTACCACTCTTCATACCAACCTCCCTGAGTCCCTCAGCCACACCATGCTCTCTGGACTGGGCATGAAACCCCTTATTCATTCACTCAACAAGGATGTATTACATGCTCATTATGGGCTTGGCAGTGCATCTGCCTCTGAGCACATGGTGGTGACTGAAACAGACACAGCTCCTTAATGTTTATTAAAAAACGCAGATAATCAACACGTATTGCAGACTGTACTAAGTGAAATGACTCAACCACTCAAGAGGAACGCACCACAGGCACTCTGTCACAGCCTTGGAAACTATGGATTTATCGGTACAAATGGGGTCACCGGTCACCGGGTGTTGGAACTGACTTGGTTCCAGAAACTGGTTTACGCTGTGGGTTTGTTTTTAAAGCTTGAGGGACAGAAATGTCACAATGACTATTTTCGCAAGGTGGTCTGGTAAGACCTCAGGAGGTGCCATGCTTTGAAACTTGAAGATTAAGACACCAGAGATATGAAGAGACAGTGGGAGGCGATACGTGAGTGGCAAATGCCACACCTACTATAATGAAATAGTGTGGTCCACTGAATTTGTAAACATGGCCCTTCTAGCCATAGTCTTATATCAGCACCAAATGATTGTGTGGAACTATGCAAAGGTGCTTGTGGCCCGTGAAGGGGATTAGACAGTTTACTAATAATGCATACAGACCAAGTGAATAATAAAGTGTATGGAGTCCTATTGAGGAGATTGGTCATTTCTGATATCCCACTAGGCTTAAAAGAGAGTGAACTGCAGAGTATTGGGGTCTGGGGGTTGTGGGACAGATGCCTGACTACCACCAGGAAGAGATGGGAGACAGGAGCAAAATATGCCCTTTGGGACCCAGGTTCTCTGTGTTGGAAACCTCCTAGACCCAGAAAAAAGCCAGAGACCTAGGAGACGATGGTGAGTACAGGGACAGCAGTTCCAGGAGACCAGCAGATGGTGTGGTAGCCTTCTCAGCTCAGAGTGAGAGCTACGCACAGGGCAGGAGGCTTGCTGGTGAAGTAGGATGCCTCTGGGTACTAACTGGCAGAGCTAGGTATTCCTAGTCCTAGCTCCAAGTACATAGAACTATGCCACCACACCTGAGCTCTAGTGGCATCGTAGGTTACTCATTGAGCTGCTAATCTCAAGGTCAGTGGTTTGAACCCACCAAGTGAAAGAGAAAGCTGAGGCTGTCTGCTCCTATAAAGATTTAAAGCCTTGGAAACTCAAGGGGGGCAGTTCTGCCCTACCCTGTCTAACACAGTTGCTATGAGTCAGAATCAACTCAATGGCAGTGGTTTGGTTTTTGGGTTTCCATTTATACCTCACTGACTTCTTTCTGTCAACACCTTGCCCATGCACTCATTTTTCCACACCTGAGAAACTTACATGATTTCCCCATGATCAGGATCCCTAACTATATAAAGTCTAGGGGGAAACAAACAAACAACAAAACAGCATAATTTCTCTTAAAAACAAAAAACACTACCCAGAAGAAGCACGCCAACCTGTTTGACCCAAGGGCTGTAAATAATAAAATCCAAATCTGGAAGAGGGAATGGTATTAGAGCTTAAATTCTAGACAGCTGGTTTGTAGAACACTGTGGATCATAATGAAAGGCTGAAATCCATTTGCAGGGTCCTTATGTGGGTTAAATCTATGGTGAGTCCCCTAAGGTGACCAGATTTTAACATTGGTAAAGCGGGACAAAAGCGGGACACCATTGATCAAACTCATATCCTGGTGAAATAGCCACATGGCAGCCAAAAACCGTATACCCTAGCTTGTCGTGCACTCTTTCCAATAATTGGGACTTTTTAAAAATGCTGCAGGACACGGGAAAAATTGTTAAAAATCAGGACTGTCCCGCCAAAAGCGGGATGTCTGGTCACCTTACCTCTGCCCATAGTCCAGGGATGTGAATAGCCTTAATATCAGACATGGAGCATTATAAAGAAGATTTTGGTAGATGTACTTAAGCTAAATATTATTTTTAATCTCCCTTTTGACACATGTTAAATTTGTTCCAGTTCTTATATAATTTCTGCTTGCTTTGCGATTGAAAATGTTTTTATTTGATCATTGTTGTTGGATCCTTTTTATGTTTTTTGTCTGTTATGTTTTTCTATCTAGGGAATCCAGGATAGGTAAATCTAGACAGACAGTAACTGGATTCATAATTTCCTGGGGGTATCAAGGGGGAGGTTGGGGAGAAATGGGAAGTCAATAGCAATGAGTACAAGAGAGTGTTCTAAACTTGATCACCCAACTCTTGTTAATATGATGAACCTATTCAATTGCATCTCAAATTATTGGGTTGGGTATGGGGAAGGAAAGGCCAATGGTCACCACTACCTCACAAGTTTCTCACCCTGCCATCCCAATACATCATCTTTTGGCCCCAACCTACTTTTCACTACTTTGTCCTATTCTATTCCATACTTCGGGCAAATTTGACTATATGATCTCAAAAGACATCCATCCTGCTCATATCAAATTTGTCTTATTGATGCATTTGTTTCCCCCACTGAGCTCTCTCCTCTTCTTGAAAGCCCTTAACCAAGTGTATACTGGCAGGCAGTACCTCTCTATTAGCCATTATTATTTTTCCTTCTAAGCTACTTTATTCAAGTTTGAGATTTGGGGAAAAGGCAAAAGTCTGCAAACCCTGCCTAGAATAGTGTCACGTACACTGCCATCAATCAGCATGGCAATCCCAGGCCCACGGACCTACAAACTTCACAGGTTCCTGAAACCAGCATTCTCCCAACACTACGCAAAGGCTCGTGGTTTCTGTTCCCGTCCCGGACAGCTCCATTTGCGTCGAGCGCAAGTTCCAATTTCACGGATTTAATTGTGATGCACTCTAATATTCAAAGTCTTTTACGCGTGAAAGGGCACTGTTAGGATGCGGGTCAGGAGGGCTATCTACGGTCCACGGAGCTGAGGTCAAGATTCCCCAAAAAGCCAGGACACAACAAACCATCCTTTCCCAAGACCATGGCGGGGCTTGTAAGAGAACCAGCACAGGGACTGCACGCAAACGCCACGCCGGCGGTGCGATTCGGCGTCAGCGGGTTTGTGCGCAGGGTCAGGCCTCAACCTACCTTCGTCCCCGGCGGCTCCCGCGCCCGCGCCCGCGGCCGTAGCCGTGGTCGTGGTCGCGCCGGGGCCTGCTGCCATGGCGACCGCGACGCAGGCTCTGCGGGGCCCGGGAGCGGAGCGAAGGGGAAGGATGCTAACACTGCGCCGACGCCGGGACGAACGGACCGGAAGAACTCCCCGCTACGACCTCATCCGCCGGAAGCGCCCGCTGGCTGGAGTCACGTGTCGTCGGTCGCTGGGCGGAGCCGGGCGAGTTTGTTTTCCTCTCCCAGCAGCAAACACGTGGCTTTGCTGTGGCTCTTCCCCCGCCGCCACCCTGGCCTTGTTTCGATATTACCTTCTCCTGAATTCGTTTCTGTTTCTGTCTCTGTCCTCAAGTCCCGGGTCCTTGGCACTATTCTCTGCCCAACAGTGTTTGGCTAAAACCCTAATTCTCCACCTGCTGGGTGGAGAATAGCCTACGATGGAGAAGGACCCGATGTTCCTAAAAGGATGGTTTGTTTGCCTTTTTTGTTTGGGCCAGGGCAGTAGAATTTGTCTCTGCTTTTCGTTACCTCCCTAGATACCTTGATCGCCTGGAGTCCCACTGTTCTCGACCACGTTCTTGTCATTCCGGCCACAACGAGACTCCCTGGTCTCCTTGGCTACTGGAGAATACAAGCCTTAGAAAAATGCCCTTGAACTGTTTTTGCTGTGACTCACATCCCGACTCCGACTAGCCAGATCGCCTGACGAAGGTATCCCAGGACACAACCCAGCAGCTGCTGGCTCTTCATTTGCATACCAAAATAAACAAACTACTACTTGATAAAGAAGCCTATGACTCCCCACCTCTCCCCATATTTTCTTTTCGTCTAGCCAAAGTTATAATAACAGAAACTAGAACTAGGTTACTTTCAAGCAGAAACCTCCCAGCTTTAATCAAGACCATTTATTGCTTGCCTAGAAGATGACAGGCAACAAAAAAAAAATGTGTGTGTGTGTGCACACATAACTGGCGACTTGATGGTCTCACTTGAGTATGTAGTACACAAAAAAGATACCTGAAAAAACGGACAGTGTTTACGTTAAGACAAAGATTATTTTCATGAGGCTATAGGTTCTGGCTACACCTCTGTTTGAGCCTGTCTCCTATACTATAATTTCTGAAACTATAGAATACCCAACAAAAATAAGAGGAAGAAAAACGAGCAGCCGATATTAAGGGGCTCAAGTAAAAGGCAAATGTTTTGGGAATGATGGTGGCAACAAATGTACATATGTGCTTGACAATGGATGTCTGTATGGCTTGTGATAAGAATTGTATGAGCCACCAACAAAACGATTAAAAAAAAAAAAAGAGTAAGCCCGATCCAGAAGCACACATTACATAAAGTGTCCAGAGGTCGCCGAGTTGTTTACCGGGCACATGATGCACACTTGGGCCACTTCCTCAGGCCAATCCCGAGGTTCGTTGCCCAATCTCCTGCAAGAGTCTCTGGTAAATAAAAAAAAAAGTCTCTGGTTTCCCTTCCCGGGCTCAGCCACTGCCCTCCTTTGCCTGGCGGTTCCTTCTGGTGCTCCCTCTGGGACCCTAGCTTTCTCCCGTTCTCTCCTGTTTTCTCTGCAGCACCACACCCTGGACAGCACAGCACCTGGCGGGCCCCGCCCCCTCCTCTGCCGGCCCCGCCCCGGC